AATATATATTGATCAATTATTTTTCATGTTTAGACTAACTTTCAATTAGTACACTTTTAGTTAAACATTTTGAGGTTGCCTAACGCGTAGTTGTAGCTACGCATAAGTTTAAGAGTGTCATTTTGAACCTTGGTCTATATAGTAACGAAATAATTAAATAACTAAAATCTTACTAATTTGATAATTGATATATAATCTAACCCGTCCAATCCTATCTAATAATATATCTCAATCACTCTGTTCCTTCCTGTTTTTTCCCTTTCATTTTGGATAGATGTTATATATCGTTATTAATAGTTGTTTTGGGATGGTGATTATCTTTTCTTTTTATAGAACCAACTTCCAATTAAGTCCCGCTATTTATTGAGTTTGCTTCTTCGTTCCTCTTCATTTCCGCACTGAGTCGTTCCCTCCACACGACTGACACAAACCAATCTTCTTCTCTTCTCCCTTTTTTTTAGGGTCGCTTTTCTCCAGAACTCGAAACTGTCCGAGTGACTGAGTGAGTGAGTGATGTCTTTCATGACGTCCACCACCGCGGCCGCTGGGCCGCCGTCCGACGAGAGATTCAACGCCTACGCTGCCGCCTGCGCCATCGTCGCTTCCATGATTTCCATCATCTTCGGATACGGCAAGTCATAACTAAGTGATTAATCCTAATTAATGCATAATTAGTGTTTGAATCAAATTTAATCAATGTTTAATCATATGTAGATACTGGAGTGATGAGTGGAGCTATGATCTTCATAAAAGAAGACCTCCTAATCAACGACACGCAGGTCCAGGTCCTCGCCGGGATCCTCAACATCTGCGCCCTCGTCGGCTCCCTGATGGCCGGAAGAATCTCCGATTACATCGGCCGGCGGTACACCATCGTCCTCGCCTCCGTCATCTTCCTCCTCGGATCCATCCTCATGGGCTGGTCCCCGGACTACGCCGTCCTCATCACTGGCCGCTGCGTCGCCGGCATCGGCGTCGGATTCGCCCTTCTGATCGCCCCCGTCTACTCCGCCGAGGTCTCCTCCGCCAAATCCCGCGGCTTCCTCACCTCCCTGCCCGAATGGGGGATCGCGATCGGAATCCTCCTCGGCTACATCTCCAACGTCGCCTGCGCCAAGCTCCCGCTCCGGCTCGGCTGGCGGCTGATGCTCGGGGTCGCGGCGGCGCCTTCCCTCATCCTCGCGATCGGAATCCTCAAAATGCCGGAATCCCCGCGGTGGCTGATCTCGCAGGGGAAATTGGGGGAAGCGAGGAAAATCCTCCTCAAAGTGTCGAATTCCCTCGAGGAAGCCGAGAAGCGGTTCCTAGACATCAAGATCGCGGCCGGGATCGACGAGAATTGCAAGGACGAGGTCGTGGAGGTGCCGAAGAAGGAATCGGGAGGGAAAGGGGTGTGGAAGGAGCTCCTCCTGCGGCCCACCCCGGCCGTACGGAGGATTCTCGTGTGCGCTGTGGGGATACATTTCTTCGAACACGCGGTGGGCATCGAGGCCGTGGTCCTCTACAGCCCGAGGATCTTCAAATCGGCCGGCGTCACGGACAAGCACAAGCTCCTATTGGCCACGGTGGGCGTCGGGCTGACGAAATTCGCGTTCATCGTGCTGTCGACCTTCCTGATGGACCGGGTCGGGCGGCGTAGGCTGCTGCTCACCAGCTTCACCGGGATCATCGGCGCGTTGACCCTGCTGGGGGCGTGCTTGACGATCGTAGAGAGGCACCACGGGGAGAAGATCCTGTGGGCCTTGGGGCTGAGCATCGCGTCCACTTATGCCTTCGTGGCGTTCTTCAACATTGGGGTCGCGCCCGTGACGTGGGTGTACAGCTCCGAGATTCTGCCCCTGAGGCTGAGGGCGCAGGGGTACAGCTTGGGCGTGGCGGTGAACAGGCTGATGAACGCGCTGATCTCGATGACGTTCATTTCGCTGTACAAGGCGATTACGATCGGCGGGGCGTTTTTCCTGTTCGCCGGGGTGTCGCTGGTCGGGTGGGTTTTCGTGTATGCTCTGTTTCCGGAGACGAAAGGGAGGTCGTTGGAGGAGATGGAGGAGCTCTTTGGGGGAGAGGCTCGTAAGGGCCAGGGCGAAGCCCATGTTTAGGAGGTTTCTATAATTAGTTTAATTAGTTAATTACCATCTTAATTACACCTTCCGTTTTCTTCTGTGATGGTATTGCGTATTGTTTGAGGAGATGGATTATTCTCAACAATGTAGTTGTATAGAGGTATGTATTTGAATTGAAGGACGACGTTAATGCTTACAGCTTGTTTGGATAGATAGACTGAGGAATTAGATTTTCGTTTTCAATTCCATTTCCATATTTTATGTTTAGAATGTTTAAGTTTTGATAATTACAATTACTATCAAAATCAAAAGTTATATGAATTGGGTTTATGCGGATGAAATTAGTGAATCTCGATAATATTTATTGTTATTTGATTAACTCGCTATAGTCTTACTTTATCTCTCTAATCATTCATATTTCCATTTCCAAAATAACAGAAAAACATATTACATTATTAATTGTTGATAAAAGTGCTATTCATTTCCATAGTTGTGGGAATGATACCAAACAATAGAATTCCATTTCCATTTCTTTTGGAATTGTATACAAGCATATTTTGGGATTCTTTTGGAAAGTGAGATTGCCTAACCTTTCTAATTGTCATTTCTCTAGGGATTTAGAACAATTCTCTTAACGCAAATTGTGTTAGAACTAGATCAGGGTTAGGCTCGTTGGATGGTAGTGTTTGATGGTTATATATACCAAAATTCTTAGGTACAACATGTGATAATCACTTCATTTTTGTTAGTTTAAAGTTTGGAGCAACCATTTTTGTCCTAAATATGCAGGCGCATGAATGATCTAGGAATGTACTCAATTCATTTCTGAAACTTATTAATTACCAAACAGTGCATTGAAAACGTGACAAATATAGAAATCATTAATATAGTACAAGCAATTAATACAACTAAAAAATTGAATTATAAAGCGACAACGTACATCTTTGCAAACAAAGTATTATATATTCTACCAAAAAAACAAAGTATTATATATAAATTACATTGATATCAACTTTAATTTGAAATAAAAACATTAATATCCAACTTTATGATCAAGAATTTTGGATGAGAATTACTACATTTTCAAGTAGGAGTGGCTATACTGTCCGGTCCGGTTAAATTGGCCTACATTAATTCGATTCAGTCCGGTTTTTTTTTTTTGAAAATATAAGGACCAAAGATTGGATTGGATACAGTCTGATCTTGATCCGGTCCGGTTTTTACTCGGTCCGGTCCCAATTAGGTCTTGATTTTATATTGAGCTTGTGGGGATTTGAGTGGCCTAAGGCCTGAAAGGGTGATGAGTTGGTTAAGTTTTGTACTGCAAAGGTTTGTGACCGTTTATGCACATTACTCTAAGTTTTGGGTGTTGAGCTCTCTTATACGGTCTTTATCCCGTTTTCGATCTGGTCCCAAACGGGTTTTTACCTCAAATCTAAACCCAAAAATTGGATTGGATTGTTTACTATCCGGTCCCGGTTCGGTCTCAGTCCGGATTATACTGTCCGGTTTTGGATAAAACCAAAAAACCCAGACCAAATAGCCAGCCCTACTTTCAAGCATCCTCTCGAAATGTTTGCCATGAGGGTTGCTATCCTGTTACCCCCAAAAAATAGGCGATTTGGTTTCTTTAACAATATAAATAAAAAATTAAAACAAAATTTACCTGGCCATGATAATTTGTTGTAAACATTAGCAAATAAATAAAAGAAAGTTCTTAATCCAAATAATTTTATTCAAATACTAATTACTCACAAAATCTTTTAAAAAGAAGCTAATAACTCACTATCAATGGTAAACCAATGGGGTTTTATCATTTTAAAAAATTTCATGTGTAATTGTACTAACATGTGTGTAATTGTACTAACATGAGGGTAATGTCCCCACTAACACAGTTAGTGACTTTCTCCAGTTCTTGTCTCTGGTGAACATTGAAAGTTGTTAGTTAGTCACTTTCTTACCATTGCCAGTCACGTGACAATACTTCAAATGATCACGAGATTAATGATATCGTTGCCCAAGCAACTCAATAACAATTCTAAGTAATTGACTGAATTATGAAAATGAGGATGACTGAGATGGTGATATTAAGGACTTAAGTGATACTATTAATCATAATGAATTGATGAGTTCAGTCTTAATTATTAATTAACCAAAACAAGAAATATGTGTTTGGGTATTATCTAGGACATGCTTTATTGATATCATCTAGTGTTTTAAGTGTTAGTATCTACATGAAACTTAAAATCTTACAATTTAATGATTTTAATCTACGGTTTTGATTTCACACCATTTTAAATTTCATGTAATCACAATTTTGACTACATTGGTCACGAACACGAGACTGACATATTGGTGGAGCTCAAGTTGGCAGGGGAGGCAGAGATCACTAGACTCTGTTAGCTGATAAATGTTGCATCAAGATCACGTTGGTTTATAGTCCAACGTGAGAAGAACATTTGCAGTATTTGTTGATATTCAGTGAGAGAACCATTTCTTTGTCAAGACATTGAAGTGTGCTTTTTGGAATTCAAAGAGGTGGAGTATTTAAGACATGTCATATCTTACTAGGGAGTGCAAGCAAACCCCTGTAATATTGAGGAAGTTGTGGATATGAAGACCAGCCGGTCATAAAAGAGAGGTCTTGACATCAATGTAGTCAAAATCGTGCTTAAATACTTACGATTTTACATTTCTAGGTCACCAAAACGCTTCTACGCATAATCTCCATTTTTTTTATAACTAATGTAGTTAAAAACTATACTTTAAAGCTTAAAAACTTACGGTTTTACGCTTTTATATCACCAAACCACTTCTACGTAGAAATGCGTTTTTGACTACAATGCTTGACATATTAACAAGTCTCAAAATAACAATAGGGTCTAACAAAAAATAAAGAAGAAGAAAATGATGATTAGAATAGTACTAAAAGTTTGTTTTGTTTCAATTTGGTCTCATTGAAATTTAATTTTGGCAATTTTTTTTCTTCATATTTGAAATAATTCATGAATTATCAGAAAATCAAACGAAACCACACAAGAGCTAGAAGCAAGGGGAGCCACCTGATCACCCCATCTTCCCCGACAATTGATTTTTTCCTCCTGAATCTAATGCTCTCCCTTCTCACTCTTTCTGCATTTCCCCCCTTTCCTGTAACAAGAAAACAACAAAGAAAAACTTCGCCCTTCATAGTTTACAGGAGAAAGAGGAGAGAAAAAAAAATACGAACAAACAAAACAAGCATTCTTACATGAGGAAATTGTGCCCAAACATCGACAAAGACGACGGGCTCGAGACGGTCCTCGAGATCCCGATCCCTGAAGAGATGTTCACCGGCATGGGAAGCAACACCACGCTGCGACTGCAGAACATGCTCAGCTGGATGAGAGCACAGACTTCCGACAAATGGTCCCAGCCCGTCATCGCCAGCCGGATCAACGAGCTCCGCTTCCTTCTCTACCTCGTCGGATCTCCCCTCATCCCTCTTCAGGTTCAAGTCGGCCACGCCGTCCACAAGGCCGTCCGAGATTCCTCCATTGTCAGAGAGTTCGATTTCCTCGCTCATTGTAATTTTATTTTTTTCGTTCAGGCATTTCGTCGAACACTTTCGGTGCTGATCGTTCCCTACTTGTTGTTGTTGTTGTTGTGGGTTGTGCATGCAGCAAGCGTCGACGGCCAAGTACATCTTGCATCAGTACATAGCTGCGACGGGAGGCCAGCCGGCGCTGAACGCGGTGCACAGCATGTGCGTGATCGGGTCGGTGAAGATCTGCGCGTCGGAGTTCCATCAAGGGGACCAGACCATCAACGTGAAGAACACAGAGGAAGCCGGCGGGTTCGTCCTGTGGCAGAAGGATCCGGACCTGTGGATCTTGGAGCTGGTGGTTTCCGGGTGTAAAGTCATCTGCGGAAGCAACGGGAAGCTCTCCTGGAGGCATTCTTCCAACCAGCAAACCCCGATTTCCAGAGGATCTCCCCGCCCACTCCGCCGCTTCCTCCAGGCAATCACCAAGTTCCCCCACCATTTCCCGTTTTCCACCCCCAATTTCTAGCGATTCGTCATAATCCCTTTTTTTTCTCTAATTTCAGGGGTTAGATCCGAGGTCGACGGCGAACCTGTTCGCCGACGCGACGTGCATCGGGGAGAAGATAATCGACAACGAGGATTGCTTCATACTGAAGCTGGAGACGAGCCCGGCGATCCGAGAAGCGCAGAGCGGGCCCAACTTCGAGATCATCCACCACACCATTTGGGGCTACTTCAGCCAGAGGTCTGGGCTTCTGGTCCAGTTCGAGGACTCCCGGCTGCTGCGGATGAGGACCAAAGACGACTACGACGTCTTCTGGGAGACCAGCATGGAGTCGGTGATGGAGGATTACAAGTACGTCGAAGGTGTCAATATTGCCCACAGCGGCAAGACCAGGGTCACAGTCTACCGCTACGGCGAGCAGTCGGCGAACCACAAGAGGGAGATTCGGGAGACTTGGAAGATCGACGAGGTCGATTTCAATGTCTGGGGACTGACCGCCGAGAACTTCTTGCCGCCGGCCGATCTGGTTGTTACCCCCAGTAAAAAGAAGGAGAAAAAGGAGAAGAAAGAAAAACACAAGAAACATAAAGAGAAGAAGGAGAAGAAACACCACCGGTGATAATTACATTTTTTTGTTTTCATTCTTTTGATTGATTCTCACTCTTACCGTCTTACACAAGTTAACTAGCTGTAATTTGCGTGCGTCGTTTTGAGAAAATGATCAGGGCGCAAGCTGACAATGTTGTGCCGTTTTGGTAATACATAGCTTTATGTTTTAGGATTTTTAGAGTACTTCGATCAGTTATTAATAACAGGCCAGCACTACTCTTCAAATACAGCCGAGGGCGCTTGCAGCCAATGTCCTGCAACAGAACAACATTCAATCTTGTAACGGCTTTAGTGAAATCCCCAATTCCTAAACAATGTCTAATCACAGCGACTCGAACTCAAACATAGGACGGTTCGTGTCTCGACACCATGAGAAAGGATCATCCTTGAAAGCAGCACGACGTTTGTACTCAGAAGGAGATGAGATCGTCCTTGGATGATGATGATGATGAAGGTGGCTTCTTTGGGTCTTCCGATGATGTGTTGGCGCCGCCTTTCTTCCCAAATATCATTTCGTCGAGATCATCCATCATGTCATCGTTGCTCCCCTCCCCATGTGCCCCGACCCGTGAGCCTGCTGGCTTTCTGATCAATGCATCTGCTTCTTTTGCATGAGTTGGGGAGTCCTCGGCCTCGACTGCGACTGGGATCATGGCAGGTTCAGGTTCAGAATGCACCGCAGATGGCCTCTCCATCTCTTCGTACTTGGACAGAGCTTTCAGAATCTCGTCGTTAACATTTAAAGCTTCAAAAAGCAAGGCCTCGTTGTCCCCTGCCGTCTCAATGATTCTTTGGACAGTCGACTGGCACTGCCGACATTGCTGGACAAGGGTACTAGTCAAATCATCCTACAAAAGCACGAGACCAAATCCCAACTCAGATCGTCATATCATACAACAATTACAATTGAAAAACAAACGCCTTGAGTCTAGTGGTAATACCACTAGCTTTGAACCTGTTTTGTCTAGCATCATGTATGAAAACAACATAGAGTACACAGCACAAAACATGCCAATGACACAGCAATGGATGCATTACTGAGTTGCATACATCATGCCCAACGAATTCAGAGAAGCTTACACCTTACAATGACGGCCTAAACTTCTCAATTTTCTCCAGCTCATTCAAATCGATTCAATGTTAAAGAACTCTCGTTAGCACTTAGCAGGTCTCAGTCTTGAATCACCCCAACATATAAAGGCACTCGAAGCAATATTCACTAGGTTTCAACATACATAATAGTATAATAACAGCAGCGAAGGACATTTTGAGCAGGCATCTTACATATACAATTTAGTCCTCAATGATCTATAAGACCACCGGAGAGTACTATTTTTATACCAAAACCATACAGTGAGTATCGTGAGGGTCAGTAAGATAAAAAGTACCTTCAAAGCATCTTGTCCAGGAGATGAAGATAAAACTGTAGTGAGAAGTTCAATGCTATTCCTGGCCACATCAAAAGCTTCCTTCGTTTGCTCAGCAGTAAGGCTTTCAACAGCAACTTCATGATGAGTCTGCTCTGCCAGATTGGCATCCACTTCTGGTGCTGAAATGGAACGAGGAGGGGTGAAGATAGGTACCAAACTCTCATTGTCACGACCAGGGAACCGGATGCCCCTTGATTTTAAGCTCTGCACAAAAGGAGGAATTCATGAAAACCCAAGCAAAATACAGCTCAGGGTATATGTAAGATGAGCTAATAAACCTATGACTCTGAACGAGCCAATGCCATACAAGAAATAAGAGCTGTCAATGAGGAAATAAAACATGCAGCAGGCAACAAGTAAAGGAATTTTCAGGTAAGGGCCCATTGTCAAGAAAAATAAGATTCTTTCCAGTCGGGACACTTTCTACACCCACTCTGAAATTCCAAAACATGATTTCACTATTGTTAAACCCCAGTTGATGTAGCCGATCTTCTACTGTTTTGATCCTCTAGCTACTAGAGTATCAATGTTAAGATTTATAATTCACTAGAAAGCATGCAAACTCTACCATGTAGCTGTCAGATCAAAATCTTCTGTTCCATACAAAATTAGATGTGAGCCAAGGAAAAGTAAGATCAAGAACTCATCATTATCCAGGTACTGATCTCAAGAAAGAGACTAATAAGTTCTCAGTTAAAAATAACAGAGGGAAAATGAAAAGATTACTTGAACATATGCCCAAATGGATACCTTGTATGTTTCTTCATAAACAGGCAGATACCGTAGCTCACTGCTTGATTCACCCCAAGCTTCAATCAGGATCAAAGCCTTATTGCGGTTGTTAACAACAGTTTGAGGGTCATCAATCAGCCGCACCATCTCGTCAAGAACCCTCTCAGCTGCCACTTCCGAGAACGCCTTTTCACAATTCTTGACGCATGTTTCGAGTAACACCAAGGCCAAGTACTGAACCCTAGCACTCTTCACCATAATCCTCTTCTTTATACCACGAACCAATTCCACGCTATTGATCTTTTCCTGATTTATCATGTCACATATTTCTAGGTTCATGGCCCAATCGGGTTCTTCAAGCGTCTCTGCAGTAGCTTCCTCAACAATTTTATCCGTTTGATTCGGACCTTGAAACAGCTCTTTCATCTTGAAGCTCATAGAACTCATCCCAGCAGTCATTTTTCGACCCATCTCCGCACCTCCAATCTTGAGGCGTTCACCAAAAGCACTCACCTTCTCCAATAAATCGTCACTCATCTTAGAAGCCTAATTGAAAACAAAAAGAGATCAGCCACCCACTCATCAAATAACACCCTCGTTGTCGGTCAATTGTAAGTCAATTGATGAACCAGCCCAGAAGAACGGTCAATGCAAGGAGGAGTACCAGGAAATTGCAAAAAGACGACCCACTAAGAAGCTACAATTAGAAAGCGAGGAGATCAATAAATTAGAGCTCTGCAAGCAGAGCCCTTGTTCTCAGTTTACTTCGAAACAAAAAAAAGGCCGAACTTTAAGGCGATCGGACGCGATAACTGATCGGCCGGCAGATCAGGGAAAGCCAATCAACCATCCAAGTCAAAAAAAGGAAAGCAGAGATCTATACCTTACAAACAGCCGAGGAGGAAATTTGAGGCTGTAGATGGAGTTGATGGTAGTTAGTATGAAGACGAAGAACAAGTCTTCCTGGGAGTTGCAGTCTGCGCGTTCTCTCGCGTAAAAAAAGGAAGGACCAACAGCAAGAAACAAAATGCTGGGCAGGGAAGAGGAGATCATTCCTCGAAAGCAAATGAACCAGCTTTGGGCCGCATAATTTTCTTTTTTTGGTCCAAACTCCAAACCAGCGCACAGATGGGCAGAAAGCAAATGGACCCGTAGTTATGGACTTTGTTCAAAGGCCCAAATTCATAAGTGATAAAAATAGGGCTGCAAATGATCCGAGTCGAGCCGATTTTTACCCTAGTTTGGACTCGGCTTGTTAATAAATAAGTCGATCTCGAGCTCAACTCGTTTATTAACGAGCCTAATCGAGCTCGAGTTAGCTCGTTAAGTAAAATCTTGGCTCTTGTTTGATACATGTGATTAATGTTATCATGAAAAAGAATAATCGTCAAATTTTCATGATTAACTAATCTCATGTTATCGAAGAAATCTATGATAGATAATTTCTTTTTAAATTTTACGATAAGACATATTTTCTCACATAGTCAATGTGTTGAACATCATATAGGGTGAGATATAATTTTACAATCCTATGAATTATCAAAATTCAACTCATAAGATCATAGATCGATTGACTCATGAGTCGGTAGGCGAGTT